CTGCAGCCTGCGCTCCTCCCCGGGGCCGGGCGCTAACTCGCGGTGCCTTAGGTTTCAATCAAGTCGACTGCACAGCTTCGCTCCTAAATGTCCCGGGGAAAACCCTTTCTGGCTTCCCCTTTAAAGGAATTGCTCGCCTGTGCCTCCCAGACTCAGTTAGATGTAAAAATGGTGGTGTGTGTCTCTCTGCTTCAAAAACATACAGAAACATGTGGAAACGTTCCATTTTTCAGATCGAAAACCATGTGCACCGAATTTTCACAGACCTGATCTTAACGGAGATAAAAGTGAGAAACCCGGAGGGGGTGCACGCTATAGAAACCCCGCATTGTCTGCTATAATTCAATCATCCTGGGCCACAGAATTTCTTTGCATAAATTACAACCACAATGATAGCATCACTTTCACAAAAGGTGGCCTCCGATCGATTCAGGCTTCAAGCCTCCAGGAGGTGGCTGGGGTTTCGCAGCAGAGAAAGGACGTCCTGCGGTCCTACAGAGTGGGTGTTGTACCTGGGGCTCCCCCCGGGGCTTGGGCTGCACCTTGGGCTGTTTGCTGATTCAGCTCATCCGCCTTTTCTTCCTGGCATTTGCTAACCATTTGGTTTTTATTTTTCTGGGAATAAAGGGAGACTGGAAATGGGTGCCACCCTCCTGCCTGAAGGAGGTACATTTGTGGGGTGAACCCCAGAATGGGGAGACGTGGTGGAGGGAACCTCGTCCTACAGTGTCTTCCTTAACCCCATTTCCCTCCTCATCTCCTATCCTTCATCCCTTGGATGACAATGATGTTTAAATTTTCTACACTGTTAATGCTCTTGGGTCTTCTCACATCTGGAAAAGCACAGAACTTGTCTGCCCTGGGCAGTTCCGAGACCGTGACCTCCTTTCCCCGGGCCCAAGCCCCCAGGAAGACGATCCTCAGAACCGGGAGCAGGTTTTGTAAGCCTCTCTATTGAAGTGAGGCCTCTAGGCAGCCGTGCGTGTCTGTATTGTGGTGGTCCCAGAGTGCTCTGGACAATCCCTTTGAAAGAATAGGGTCGGGGAGATTCTCAGGACAGAGGCAGCTAATTTCCATCCTTGAGGCTTTATCTCACAAAGGACCCTCGATTGTAAAGAAAAAAAAAAAGTAAGTCTGTGGAAAACTTGCTCCCATTTCCAAAAGGGTGGACTCTGGATGAAAGAGAATATTTTCACATTTTCTCAGTAGAGTAATGCTTTTAGTGCCGAAATCCTCTAAAGAGAGTGGACGTCACACATCACACCTAGGGGCAGGACCGCAGGGTGATATGGCACAATTCAGTGGCTACAGGCATACAGCTGGCGTTTAATAAAGGTTGAATGAGTACGTGAAAAATCAGGTTGTCATTGCTGCTTCAGAAAGTAGCGATGATTAACAGATGCAAATTTACAATCCCTTTCATGATCTCGGCATATAAAAAGCCTTATCTGCTCCTGCATCGTCATGGGAAACTTTGATGTGTCCCTGGGGGCCAAACAGCAGGCTGGCCCAGCTGTGTGTGTGCACGTGGGACATGCATCCCGGGGAAGCCTGGGTTTGCGACGCTCTGCCCGCACTGGGTGCATTCAGGGCGGTCACCAGCCAACATGCTCCCCTGGCATGACAGAGGACGTGTTAGATAACGCAGCCTTAGGTCAGAGAAGTTTTCCTCTGTCTCTGTTCTTAGGTGTAAATAGGAAGGGCCTGGGTGGGAAAGAGTAGTGACAAGACAGGCAGTTAAGAAAGACAAGAAGTATGTGGATAGCAGACGATTTTTTTTCTTCAAATCAGATTATCCTGTTGCCCATCCTCTAACTGGTCTGGGACGTCAAATTCTGGATGGTTGAACTGAAGGCCGGATAAAGTCCCCTGTGCACGAGTGTGTGTGTGTGTGCATGTGTGTGTGCGTGTGCACAGCTGTCCAGAGTGTGTGAGTGTGTCTGTGCCCAGGAAACTCAAAGAGTCTGGCCCTGGGGCTGTGAACAATTACCCAGGAAGTAGCCCCTCTTACCATTTGAATAGAAAACCTTCCGAAGGGGACCCCAGCCTCAGGCCCCCGTCTGGGCAGAAAGAAAGGCTTGACCACTCTCAGAAGGTGGTTTGGCTTAATGACACGGGCCAGTTCTGATAGTGCGTTTGTTTCCATGTTTCATACCTTCCCCCTCCGTTCCTTAGATTAAGAAAGGGAAAAATCTATTGAAAGGCTTCTGTGGGGTTTCTCTTTTGTTAAAAATAAATCTCATCACTCACAGCCCTTGGGCATTAGGGAAGTGATTACGTCTGGCTGTGGGGCCATGCAGGTCTGGGTGCCCATCCTGATTCCCTGACCGCTTGTGTTTGGTCTTTACTACCTGTCTGCTTCTTCAGCCTTCCTGGTGAGGATTTCTTTACCTGCAGAACAGAGGCATCAGTGCCCACCTTGCCGGGTCGCGCTGCAGAGTGCTGTTTATGGAGGAAAAACACAGGCCCGCAATACCAGCTGAATAAAGAAATAGGGATTATTACTGATCTTGTGTGTGTGTACCGGAGTATATCATGTCCTTAATACTGATTCACAGCAAGTGCATTCTTCTGGATTAAAGATCAAAGGTCATAAAATCCCAGGGACATACTTCCTTGAAACAATTGCAAAGCTTTAAATAAGGAGATAATATAACAGGGTCTTAGCTCTGCCACTAATTACTCATGTAAACCTAACGGGTTCGATCACCTTCCTGGCTTTCCGTTGTAAACAGAGCTGTGTTCTAGATAATGCCAAACAGGGGGTGCAAGTGGCGGTGACCTCTGATAGGGGCCTCGGGGATGATGGCCTGTCCACCTCCCTCCCAGCCGGCTCTCTCTGCAGGCAGTGGCCCTTCCCTTTTTTTCTCTTGTCTCCAGGCCTTGAGGGCAGGTGTTGTCCTGGTCCTTGGGCCTCCCCCAAGGCAGCTCTGGCTCCAGCACACCCACCCACCCCAGCACTGGGCATGCCGCACCCCTTGACCTGGAGCCCCGGGGGCTCTATTTTCCTGGTCAGGATTTCAGGATGGGAGGAATGCACACCTCCCAGAAATGGCTCCACACTCCCCCAGTCTATGCCCTGGGAATCACCATTCCTCTGCCGGCATTCTGATTTTGCCCCCAATTCACTCCCCTATCACATCTTCCAGGTCCACAGCCCTAATGGGGGACAGCAAACCCCAGGGTCCTTCCAGCACCATGTTTCCAAAATACTTCGAATCCGAGCCAAGAAAGACATCCAACGTGGCAGCAGAGAAGTGGGAGACTGGTCACTCGGGTTAGTGTGCCTTGGTGCCAGAGGGACGGTCTCCTCCATCTGTAGGGACACAGAAGTTGGATACCGCATAAAACAAAAGGAAGTCCTGGCAGTGGGAGCCAGGGAGGCAAGGCGGTCAGCGTAGATGGCAGCTCTGACGGTGACCAGCAGGCTGGGTCCCCGTGATAATTAGAGGCGGCCCGGCGGGCAGCAGCTGAGGCCTCATCCCCGAGAGCCATTTCAATTGCAGAGTTGGCGCAGAAGGGCCTATTGGCCTGATAGTCATCTCTGCCTGGCCATTTGATCACAGGCAAATAATAGCCCCAGCCGCACTGTGTTCGGGCTGCAGTGAGGACAATGACCTGCCGTGAAAGGAGTTAAAAAGATTCTGGGGAAGGGAGAGGCAGGCCCACACGGTGGCAATTCAAGATCTTTTGGACGCTGTTAGCTCCTTCTTTAATTAAGCTCCTCTTCTTCAGCTCATCCTGCAGAAATGCACCTGCCTCCCATCTGCCATCCAAAACGGGGAGCGGGAGAGTGACTTCACACTGTTACTTTCAGAGTTTTGCTGTGGCCCACGGTGTGATTTTTTTCAAGGGAGGCAGCCACAGACGTGCTCGCTCTTTCTCTTTCTTCCTTGCTCTGGATGATTCTATGAAAACCACATTAGAAAGTGTGTGGGCCAAGCCATCCCGTTCATCAAAGGGAGAAGGTCATAAATAGTATTCATTCCGAGAATATCAGGGGCACTACGGGCATTCGGGGAGGGGGGCATGAGCACCAGGGGCCCCTTAATTTACGTGATCTCCATTTCATCCCCCAAACTGCATCTGTGCCTGACAACTGGGACACAAAACCGTTTCCTCTACCAGAAGATCCTTACTTTCTGCAGCAGTGTGCAATACACGATCGGGGCCCATGGCATGGGATTGTGTCATTTTCTGAACAACCCAGTTTTGTTTGGCGGCAAGTGTGGGGGGGGGGGCGGTACCTATTTTAGGCTGCTTGGTGCTTACTCCATTCTGCAAATCGTTCCCATTCACGTGGGCCCGCGATGGGTATGAGCCCGAGCCCTGTCCGACCTGCTTGCCCTCCTGGAAACCTTTCCTTGCCAGAGCCGTGTGAGCCTGGCTCCAGTGCCTGCACACGCTCGAGCATTTTCAGGGAGAGACCTTGAATGTGCTCCTCCCACACTCAGGCCTGCCGTCCCCAAAACCAAGGGAGGCTGGTGCAACCCCAGCCCAGCCCCGGATGCCACCCCGCCCCTCCCCCCATGCCTGCCGCAGCTCAAAGGGACAAAACGCTGTGGCGGCCGGTTGCTGAGGACCGACCTTTCACGCCTGCAGTGCCCTGCGGAGAACTGCTGCCCCGTGTTAGGGAATAGGGATGCTGAGGTCCTCATCGATTTGGGCAGGATACAAAGAAAGTGCAAGTCAGAGATCCCCGCCCGGGCTGTCTGGCTTGAAACATTCACTGCGCCCCGAGAAGCTATAAATGGAGCAGCGGGAAGTGGTTCTCCATCTACCTGGGAAACGGCCCCCTGATGGGCTCACCCATTAGACACCTGCTCCTTCGGGCCGGTCCTCTGGGCACGCCCCCTGCGCTCGGCCCCGCCCCCTGCGCCCGGCCCCGCCCCTGCCCGAGTCCGACGCCGCGCCCGGCCACGCCCCCTCGCCTGACCACGCCCCCTGTGCCTGCGTCCTCGCGTCATCACGTCCTCCCTGACGTCACCTCGGCTCTGCACCGCCGAGCGGGCTCGGACCCCAGGTCGCTGGATGCTCCCGCAGCCTCCGCAGCGCGCGGGCCGGGCAGCCGAGCCGGGCAGCCGAGCCGGGCAGCCGAGCCGCGCAGCCTTATCACATGCTTTTAATCGCTGAGCTAAAAGGTGGCCAGGCCCGGACTGATTCCGCCGCCTGAGGACGGTCGGAGGGTCAGGTGCACGCCGCTTCGGGAGCCTCAGCCCCTGCAGAGCGCGCCGGGTTGGACGGGGGGTATCGGGAAAGCGCAGACCGGAGGAGCTTGGCGGTGTTTAGCGTTTCGAAGGGACGCGAGCCCTGTGGTCACGAGGGTGACAGTGTTGGGGAGACTACGCGCGCCCCTCCTCGGGGACAAGGCGGGTGCCCACCGTCTCGCAGGGCGGCCTGATTTGGAGGGGAGGCGGCGGGGGGCGCGCTAGGGACGGGGTGGGGGAGAGACGGGGCCGCGCCAGACCCCAGACGCGGGGGCCGCAGGGTCTCCAGGGGTCCCTCCTGCCTCCTCCGGTCGCCGTCCAGCCCTGCCCCCTGTGTGTCCACTTGCCGGCTTGTCTTCCACCGTCCCTTCTCGTCCCCCTCACCTAGTGCCGTGCCTCCTCCCTCGACACCCGTATTGACACCCAGGACTTTATTTCCAACTCTACAGTCATGACCCTGAAGCCTTTGTACCTCGCTCACACGTCTCTGTTGGACCCTGGCCCGGCAGCTGGAGAGCGAGCGTGCAGGGGGCTCGGCCTGCGCGGCCAGGCGCCTCCACCTCCACGGCCCCAACCAGCGAAGCCTCCACATCCTCGCCCCGCAGCCCGCTGCTTCCGCGTGCCCCCCACCTTTACTTGGCAGCACCCTCCTAATGAGCCCAACTAGAAACCTGGCCCCCGGCTACGCGCACCCCTTGAGTTTGTTGGGCGCTCTCCCTGTCCTGACGGCCTCTGTTGCTGGGGTTGAGGACTGCATCATTCCTGCCAGGTGACTGCAAAACAGCCTACTGGGCTTCCTACCTCTGGGTTGCTCGTCGCCCTCCAATCTGACTTCCGTCTGCCTCCAAAATGATTTTTTCATAAAACGAAGCTTGTGTTTTCCAGGCTCCTCCTGTGTGCAGGTTCTTGCTCACCCAGGCCCTCTTTTAGGACCTGCACCCCATGCCCGAGAGACAGTGCTCAGGCTTTGCAAGTCGGAGTGCCTTTCCTCTCTGCTCGGTAAAATACACTTCAAAGACTTATTTTAATATCTGTGCTATGGGGGATCCCCGGATGGGCCCAGCGGTTTAGTGGCTGCCTTGGCCCGGGGCATGGTCCTGGAGTCCCGGGATCGAGTCCTACATTGGGGCCTGCTTTTCTCTCTGCCTCTCTCTCTCTCTCTCTCTCTCTCTTTCTCTCTGTGTGTGTCTCTTATGAATAAATAAATAAAATCTTAAAAAATAAATCTATGCTGTGGTCTATGTGGTATGTGCCGTGCGGTATACGTCACACGGCGTGCTATATAGTCTGCACTACGTGGCATACGTTACGCTATGTGGCAGGTGCCTTATGCTGTATGCAATACGGAATATGAAATTGGAGCTTGTGAATCAGAGTAAAAGGCTCATTGCAAGCCATCAATTCTGTGTCCAACTCTGGATGCCCTCCCTGCCTTTTCCCGGGTGCAGTGGAGTGTGGCTCAAGGGGTGTGGGGTGGGTGCTGAACACTGGGATTTGACTGAGCGACCGAAGCCTCAAACGAGATGCCGGTGGCCGTGGGGGATGGTTTGGGGAGCCTCCGTGTGACTGGGATATAGCCCCCGTCCAGACCCTTCCTCTTGCCAGGGAGATGGCGTGCTCAGGGTCGCCGTCATCGAGAGCAGCCTGTGCGCTTATTAGCTGTAATGCTGCACTTAGTATTATTACTTTGTTCTTTTCAAAGCACTTCTTCATTTTCTTATTGGGGGCAGTGGACCTTATCCCCATCACATGAGTGAGGAGACAGAGATTCGGTGGGGAGGGCTTCTTTGAGGCAGCAGTTAAATCCCTCGTTCCCCTGCCTGGGGCCGTCTGCAGGGAGACCTGCGTCCCCTCTTCCTGCCTCTCCTCCTTGATGCTCCTTCCTCTGGTGCTCCTTCCTCCTGTCCCATTCTCTGGCTGTGCTGAGGCCTTTCCTTTTGCCTCGCCCACACTATCCCTCCTCTGAAGAGCACCAGGTGCCAAGTGGTGAGGATGGACAAGCCAACAGAGGTGGGCGGGCTGGCAGGAGGGACCCCACCCCAGGAGCTCTTCTGGGCATTAGCGAATTGTCCACCTACGTCCACAGGACCAGCCTCACCCCAACTCATCATGTCTCCTATGGAATGCTGATTTTAGGTGTGTTTTCTGCATCTTGACCAAAATACTGGGTAAGGGGAGGGAGGAAGAAGGGGAAAGAGGGGGGGGAGGGGGGGAGAGAGGGAAGAGAGAGGGGGGAGAGATACGGGGAGAAGTGGAGTGGGGAGAGGAAGGGAGAGAGTGGGGAAGGGGGAGGAGACTGGGAGGAAGGTATGTCAGGCTGCCCAGTCACCCTGGAGAAGCTGCAGCCCCAGGGGGGCAGGGAAGGGGAGGCAGGGGAGGGAGACCAAGGCAGGGCAGGTGAGGGGCAGGTGGAGGGACATTGGGCAGACCCATGTCACACTGCTTTTTGCTCAGCTGTGAGCCTTGCCTCATCGTGCCTTTTCTTCAATATCCCCTCCTCAGATGAACCTCCTGCACTTTCTCACATCATACAGCCCCACCCTCCTCATTCCTTGTTTTATGAAACTTCTCTGGTCTTGAAGCACTCTCTGCCACCGTGTGCCTGTTGACATGGTCATTCCAGGCTCTCCCAGGTGAACGCTGTGTCTGCTGCTGCCTCCCAGGGCCTGGTCACGGACTCTCGTGATGTTGATGCAGTCACGCAGTGGGCAGAGCTCCCATCCGGGAGTGCTGTGCGGGGCGTGTGCAGTAGAGCCCTGAGCGCAGTGCCTCAGGCCCCAGCACTGGGGAGGCCGCATCCCACCTGGATCCCCCTGAAGGGCGGTGGCCGCGTGAAGGTCAGAAAGGACAAGAAATACAGGGAAAGCTCAGCGTGGAACAGGTCCAGTGAGGAGTAGCCGTGTGCTCTCAAGGCCGTGGGAATCTGGGCTGGCATCCGTGGGTCTTCAATTCTTCTGTTACGTCACAAGCACCATTACAATTAGAAATATAATTATGTGGAAAGGAATCCCCTGGGGTTCCTAAACAACCTTCTTCTTCTTCACCAAATAAAGACATGCATTTTGCATTAATATTGAGGAATAAATAATAAATTATAAACAGACCAGAAATTGTAACACGGTGGTGTGATGTCTGTAGATTTTTACGGTCTCTGGAGTCTGCCCCTCTAGAAAGAATACATTCTTTCTGGTGGTTAAAAATATTCACAATCCTTTGTTAATCCAGTTCACTGTGCCCGTATAGGAGGACCGTTGGAACAGAAAGTGTATTTAGAATTCTATGGGCCCCATTCTTCCAGTGCATTTCAATTAGAGACACCATTTGTCTTGTGTGTTTTATCTCCTGGAACATTCTCCCGTGTGCTGTTGGAAGATAACACCATTTTCAGGTCTCTCAAGTTGCTGGGTTTTACTCTGCGTCTGCTAACACCCGTAGGTGTATGTAATCTCACTGTAGCAGGATGTTGTCATGTCTTGTTGACTAATTAGCCCCTCACTCCAAATCCCAGCAGCTAAGAGTTCAAGTGTTAAATGGGGGGACAGTGAATCCAAATGGGAGGGGACAGGGACAGTGTTCAGGAACAGGCTGGGAACTCTGTGGCTGTATTTTCCCCTCAGTCATGGCAGGTGCTGCCTGGTTACAGACCCTAATGGGCTCCACCCTGAGCCACAGACATTGTCCGAATACAAGATTAGCAACTAGAGCCTGTGTGATAAAGGACAGCAACGTCTTTTAGGTTGGTGCTCCAGGAGGGGAGTTCAGGATGCTGTAACATAACATAACATAACATAGATGTCTTTGTTTATTCACACAGGAAATGTTGATCAACTACAATGTGCCAGATTCTGGGAAGATCACTGGGGCCGTGACGATTCATGAGACGGTCTTCTTGCCCTGAGAGTACACAATCTGGAGGCAGAGAAAAAAGACAAGTAGACAATTATAGGATGCAATGGTGAGGACTGGGAGAGAGGCCTTCTCAGGAGCCCTGAGGACTGAGGAGGATTGGAGTCAGGGAGAATGACCTTGAGCTGTGTGAAGGTCAGCTGGAAGACTGAAGAGAACTAAAGTAGGACATTCTAGACGATCATAGAGAGCCACACGGTCCACAGGGCAAGCGTGGGCTTCCATCGAAGGATGTGAGAAACTATTGGAAAGATTACAGCTGGGAAGCTCCAAGTAGAACCTTGAGGTTGAACTCATACCTTGATGGCTGTGTTCAAGGGTGGACTCAATGGGGGAGAAAAGTGAGATCCAACAAATTGAGGGAACTCTTCCAAAGGAGAAGAGACAATGAAGGTCTGTGATGGTCGATTCTACAGTTATTTAAGGATCACATTAGTGGGCTCAGCTGCAGTGAGGAGGGTTTGGAGTCTCGCTGGGATACCTTGAGCTGATGCTGCTGTTGAACCAGGGAATGTAGAGAAAAGACAGTGTTTGGAGCTGATGCTATGATTTCAATGTGGGGCAATTTTAGATGAGGTACGAGTGCCTGGAGCTCCAGACCTGGGCTGGGATGTAGGCACCGAAATCAGAAACTTTCCAGAGCACTCACAAACCAGGTGGTCAAACCATGAGAATAAAAGGATCAAGAAGATAACTGGAAAACCCTAGGAATCCTAAATTTAAATCATAAAAGTAATGCAAAAGGAAGAAAGAGATCAGGGAGGCAGACTGGGAGCAAGTGGTCAGAAAGGGAGGAGGAGATGCAAACAAGAGAAATGTCTCGAAAGCTAGCAGGAGAGATCGCCAAGGAGAGAAGTCATTGAAAGTGTCCATCAGACAGGGAGGACCCCATCACTGGGCTTGCAAACCTGAAGTCTCTGGGGAACTTTGGGTAAGTAATGTCTGTGGATTCAAGAGTAGATTGAGGGGCGCCCAGGTAGCAGTTGGTTATGCTTCTGCCTCTTGATTTTCACTCAGCTCATGATCTTGGGGTTGTGGGATTGAGTCCCCCACCTCGGGCTCCATGCTCAGCAGAGTCTGCTTGAGATTTCTCCCTCTCTCTCTCTGCCTCTCCCCCTGCTTGTGTGCTCCCTCCCTCTCTCCCTCCCTCTCTCTCTCCCTCTCTCTCTCTCTCTCTCCAATCAATCAATCTAAAAAAAAAAAGAGTAGATCGAAATCTAAACACAGAGGGTAAAATGGAGGTAAAGGGGAGCCTGGAGTAATCTGGCTCATTTGTAGATGGAGAGACAGAGGTCCAATGAATTTGTTTACCCAACAACACCTGTAGACCAGAAAATCAGGTTTCTGTGTGGGATTAGAGGAAATATGCATAGAGAGAAAGAGGCAGGGTCCTGTGGGGGGTCTTGAATCTCAGTCTAGAAATACAGGAATGCAACATAGAGCCCAGAAGGTTCTCGGGCTGAGTGCTGCCATGTTCACAAGAACATTTTGAGAAGATCAATCTGACATAAGTGAATGGAAGGAAGACAAAGGATGGGGAAGCCGGATGTGGGCATTGGGCTGTCCCACACTCTGGGGATGAGTCAGGAGGGAGGACCAGGTAAGGATCATGAGGATGGTGTTCATGACTGATCGGAGAGGAAACGAAATAGAGAAGAAGCCTAGCTACGTGCTCTGCCTTCTTGGCTTGGGCGAAGAGAGATTCATTGGAAGAAACGGGAAGATCGAGAAGGAGTATTGCCTCTTGGCATATAAACTGCCTTTAAACAAATGATGATTCTGATTTCTTAGCAAAGAATCCATTTTAGATGGTTCCAGAAGAAGACTGCTATCCACATGTCACCTGATACATCCCTTTAAATTTGTGTGTACTCACTTTTCAGTGAACACGGCTGTGCCTTCACTGTAGTCCCTCGGGAAGCCCGGATCCCGTTCTCACTGCTATTCCCCGCGTCCATGCACCCCGGCCGTGGAGCACAACCTCCGGGGTCTCACCCCCTGTCAGGACCAACGGAGAGCAGCACTGAGGTCTCCTAATCCTAACATTTCATTACTTTTACCAGAGAGACGAGAGCTCGCTCATTAGCACACTATGAAATATTATCCTAAATAAGTAAAATTAAATTATCCTTGCCACAATAGATGAACCTTGCACATGCCACGATTCGCTGTTCATTCTTTTAATTACATATATATATATATTTTTTTTTCTTACTTGCTGATTTGTGAAATTCACTAACTCACAATGGGC